TATATATATATATATATATATATATATATATATATATATATATATGTATACAACATGTATGACTTTGTACCATATAATGCTACTACTAATTAAACTGTTCCAAATGTTTGGTGTGTACATTATTTAAGGAGGTGTGTTGGACAGGTTTCTGCATTATTTTTGTTGGTGTGATGTTCGGCAGCTCAAAGGATTAGGACATTTCGCTTTAACAGAGTTTATCATACTAACCCATATACAAACTTACAGCAAAATAAAGCAATTACTTTACTACTAACCATTACTACTATCATTTAGTTAAACATTCAGAAAAGATTGCACAGTAGATCAATAGATCAGTAATTTATTCTGTTTTTACAGTTGTAACATCTGTAACTGAAATATTTTGGCAGGAATTATGTTACTATTACAGTATTGACAACAAGAGAGTTCAGACTCTTACCTTTTTCCAGATAAATCACTGGACGTGTTTTCCTTTAGAAGACCTGACTGACAACAACAGAGAACTTTCACATCCACCTGGAAGTGGCAGTTGTGATGTCTGTGGAGAGCTTTCTGCTTGGACCGGTTTGTCTCTGTACTAGGGTGGGGCGATGAAGTTTTGAAATAGTTACCGGAGTTTCGGTAGTTCGAATGCACTGTAGCGTTAAAAGCTTTGTGTTTACATTCTTTCTAGATACTTTAAAATGTTAGTGAACACCCCTAAATTGATATATAGTATGGTTGGTTGTGACTTTGATTTAAAATACCGTATCTGATGTAACTCGTTCCTTCCAGTATTTCATGGAACTACACCCGTTTGCATGGTGCAGATACTGTCCACTCATTTATTTGGGCAGCGTGCAAACTCAGTGCCACCTGTTGGCCGCTTTTCATATTGCATGTCTGTGGATCAATGACGTGACGCTTACATTTTGACTACTTATTATTTTAAACTACTTATTATTGAATAAAACATTAAATGCTAAACCAAAAAAATCAAGAAAATGCACATCTTATATGTTTAGCATTTTCTTTTTTCTCTCCTTTCTTTCTCTTTATTTATTTTTCTTCTTTCTTTCTTGGTTTTATTAATAATCATTTTTTCATGTTCCTTAAAAACAAGCAGTGAATCGATTTTGTTATAATAATGTAATATTTGTATTTAATAGTATGATATTTGAAGAATTTGTCTTTCATGTAACAGAACAACCATACATGTATTCCCAGGATAGATAGATAGATAGATAGATAGATAGATAGATAGATAGATAGATAGATAGATAGATAGATAGATAGAAAGAACATAATTTGATCAGTTTATGTTCATAAATGGCATAAACCTTAAGAAAACATACTGACATGAAAAGTATTCATCTGTACAAGTTTATCTCTTTATTTAGAAAATCAAGTTAGCACACGTTTAAACTAGGTTTTTAAAGAGTTACATAAGAGCTATTATTATTATTATTACTATTATTATTATTCAACTTGGGCATTTTTATCTGTCACTGACCCACACGTAAACCTACAGAATGTTGTCTTAGGCTATTCCTATAAACTTAAAGAGCTATTCCATGACTTCAAAAGTGTATGAAAATGTCCTGGTCTATATGTTTAATAAACCCTTAAACTAGATCATGGGTAAAATATAAGCAACATCTACATTCTGAAGTTCCATGTGCACTGACTGTGTTTCTCAGAGATGCAGTATGAAGGCACATAGAGTGAGTATTTGAGGTTACAATGAGGTTTTTAATAAAGTGGACAGATTCTAATGTTTGGGACTTCACATGTGGACAAAGTCTACTCAAATTCAGAGAACTGGTCACTTCAGTTTGCACAGATTTAAGCGAGAGAACCTATGTTACACAATAAAAGCCAATATCTTTACTTTAGTGAATGCAGAATACAAATGTGTACAACAATCTCTAGCATAATATCTTAGTCATTCAATAAAAAGTTCACTAGAATATTTATTGTATAATGAAGATAAAACAACACATTCAAGGGAAATATAATGCAGATTAACTTAAAGTTCTCTCTCATGTTTTACTCTTTTTTTTGTTGTCTTTTTTTCCTTTTTGAAACATCTTGTTTCAGTTATGGCAACAAAGTCCAGCTTGTGCCGCCACACGGTTTGAGCATCCAAACCGCAAACAGCTTCTTGAAGTGAACTAGTAACTACAAACAATTACCAAATACATAATTCTGATTTAGAAAAAGCCATAAAGCAAAGCAGTGTACTCTTGCACAGCAAAGTGAAGAAAGTACGCAACAAACAATTGTTGTCTCCTCTTTATCCCTTCCTTTCACATTCAACAGTTTGTGACACAGCACTCCGCACCAAAGGAACAGCCTCCTCTCTTCAGATCTCTTATGTATTTCTCATGTGCATTTATAGGGACCCCTGATGTGAGGGTGATTTTGTTTTGATGACGTCAAAATGTGATGAGTGATATCATATTTGATTCTGAACACCAGCAACTCTTTGGAATAAGGCTCTCTAATTGTGCATGTAGCAGAGAAACTCCGATTCCTAATCAAGCACTAATGTTGAGTGTGTGTGTGTGTGTGCATTCATTGCAGTTTGGAAATCCTGCATGTTTTTAGTCCACAGTGCTTTCATAACACTGGGCTGGCATTATTGCTTGTCTACCCTGAAAAGCTTTGATTGCGATCAACTTTAAATGATTTTGACAGACATCATAAAACTTTCTAATGGGTGTTTCAATTCCGCTGAGACAACAAAGCTTGTACATCTGAGATTAAATCTAAAGCTATACCTAAAGCAGTGTTTGCATGGCTCTTGTGGTTTTCATATTTAGTCAGTGTGCCTTTATACATAACCGTAAAAGGATAGTTCACCTAAAAATGAGAATTCGATCATCATTTTGTTTAAAACCAGTTTTAATGAATGTTTCATTCAGCGAACATCAATGTGGTCCAATGTTGTTTCTATTCAGTTCCAAAAAATTAAATAAATGCATACAAGTTTGGAACGACTGAGTAGATATTGACAGAATTTTCATTTTTGGGTGAGCTATCACTTTAATATGCAAGCACTTAAGGACAAAGGGTTAACAGTCGTTTTCTCACCTGCTCAATAAAGAGCACTTCATTTATGAACTAGGCAACATTGTGTAATTGATGGACATGTGATAGTATAATATGCATGATTACTTTTTTCTCTCTTAATTAATTAATTTTTTTATTATCATTAAAGGGTTAGTTCACCCAAAAATGAAATATCTGTCATCATTTATTCAGCCCTAAGTTATTCCTGTATAAATGTCTTTCTTCTGTTAAACTTAAAATATTTTGAAGAATGTGGGTAACCAAGCAGTTAATAGTCCCCACTGCCTTCCATAGTATGGAAAATAAATAGCAATGTTGACCATCAACTGTTTGGTTACACACATTCTTCAAAATGTCTTTGTGTTCAGCAGATGAAAGAAATTCATACAAGTTTAGAACTTGAAGGTGTATAAATGACAGAATTCTCATATTTGGGTGAACTATCCCTTTAAAAATTCCACTTTTAATGTGAATGCTTTGTGTTCCTGGCTATGTGTGGGTTGGGGACTGCATAGATTAATATCAGCTTATTGCCAGTTGCTGTGGTGCTCAAGAGGGCAGGGAGGTATGTGCACACTGACCGAATACATAACAAATCTAAAGAGGAAAGCGTCCAATAGCAAACTTGAACATACAAACTTTGTGTGCAATCCAGTAGAGAGATCATGTCCAAGTCAGTTTGCATTGTCTAGTATTTCCATCTTTAGCTGCTGAATCCCCTGACACTTTTCCACCTGAGGGGCAGTGAGGTGTGATGCAAGCCGGAGGCCACTGCTACCAGACGTTTGTGCCACGCAAACAAACAGCCACACATGAAGAGATATGCACACAAAGAGCAAAATGCGACGGCGGAGAGAGCTACAGCACCCCCTCTTGTCCAGCAATACAGAACATTGCGATTGGTGCCTCCTTAAGGTGTCTACTTTACATTAGGAAATGTAGATGTAGATGAGCCAATTCACAAAATAACTGGAAAGGTATTCCGTTACATAGTATGCATGTATGTATTAGGGTTACCTAAAGTTATGGTATTTACAATATATGAGGGATTTGGTTGAAATGAATTTAGGGTTTGAAAGAAATTAGCTTTTTATACAAACTGGGGGTTTGTTTCTGTAAAGAGAAATGTGTCTTCTACTGGATATCAATGAATAGTGCATCTAAACCGTGATGGGTTAAAGTAGGCAGTGTATTCAGCAGCTGCAGGCTAATCCCTCACAAAACAGTTGTAAGAAATGCAACCATATTTTTTTCTTAGCACGACGAGTATCGTTACAAAACAAAATAAAGACAGCTGAGCTTAAATCATACAGCTCTGTTGTTACAATTTCTTATGGACAGACATTCACCACCATTAAAGGGTAAACGACCCAAAAATGACCTTGGAAAAGAAAAAAAAAAGAAAAAACACTTTGATTATTACCAATAATAGTCAGATTTGAAGAAAGTACAGTATAGTTAACAAAATAGTAAATATTAACCAGTGAATACTCTACTTAATAAGGATCTCGCCTTGTAAACTTGGCAGTAATCCACAAAAATATACTTTTTTCTTGAATCTGGTGAAGGTACAATACATACGTACTTACACCAAAAGTGATATATATTAAAGTTGCTATGTACATAACAAAAGAAAAAGGTTTGGCTCAAATCTTTAATTTACAAACAGAACAGCAAGTGTTCATGGCTTTAGATATCATTTCAAGATCTGCTTTGCATGTTAATCGTTTTCCAATGCTTGTAACAACGCACACTATGACAGAACTAATATGAAACAAACATCGAGAGAGAAATGCTGAAAATTCCCAACCTACAGTACGACAAAATTACATAGAGGCTTTGGCTTGCGTTACCATTGAGTTGTTGGAGCTGCATGAATGTAAAATGACTTGCTATCGTCTCTAAGTTGACTGGGCTACCTGTTCTTTTCCCATTTGTTAAAAACGCAAATAGAAGGACTGAAAATGTAATCAACGACTATTATTAATTTAGAGACATATTCATTTCTTTCACTTAATGTCTTAACTGAGGTGAAATGTGATCTCATTTTAGATACAAGCCATCCCTCGTAAAACTGATCCAAATCTATCATCAAATACCTTAAAATAAATTAATAAGTGACATACTTCATATAAGGGCGAGTGCAGATACAGATTGTTTAATACATGAGCCCAGCAGGCAGGAGCCTTCAGAAAGAAAGCCGCCCCTAAACTTTCTTTGATTGTTTGCAAATTCAACAGCGAAAACAGCTACAAGTGTCAAACTGCACCAGTGATGACAAAAATCGAAAATGTTTTCTTCATACATTGGACTCTCGCACAATGCAATTTGCATCAAGTACCTGATAACACCTGTTTTTTTTTTATTATTTTTTGTTTTGTTTTTGAGTACACCATTCATTCTGACTGCTTGATTTTTTGATTTTCCCTCTCTCCACTCATCTGCTTAATTTCGATATGCCAGGACATTTTTGATTTCTTTCCCCATCCACCTACTTACAAAAAAAAGTGAAATTACGTTAAATTATAACAATAGAATAATAACAATAATGACCCTCCCTGCTGTCACTCCTCTCTCCCTTTCCCCCTGCCCAGCCCTGCGTGTGACTGACTGACTGGCTGTCAGGCTCCGGACAGCTTTATGTCACCCAGGTGTCCATGCGCATGCGCTTGACCGTGGGGCTCTCCCTCTCTTCGGCCCCAGAGGCCGGGGGTCGACCCAGACCGAGTGGGGAGTGGAAATCAGGCCGGTGATCCTCTCGGTCGCTTCCGTCGTACGAGGAGCAAGAGGAGCTGAGGCTGTCGACAGGTGAACGGCCCATGTCTGGACGGCCGGAGGGAGGCTGCTGCTGCTGCTGGGGTGGGAAGCCGGACGGGGAGATGCGCTCGCGTGGAGGAGAGATGGGCTCGGATTTAATGTTGACATTCTGGCTGGTGTTGATGGAGAGATTTGAGCCCTGAGGTAAGTGACCTCCACCTCTGAACAAAGAGAGAAAATTACAAAATGAACAATTAGTACGAGTGCACAAACTGTCTGTGGACTGCAGAAATCCCTGAACTCAGCAGCTACTATGTGATGCTAACACAGAGACCCAGATAGCCCAATAATATTATCCCACCCTCCATCTGTTTACTCAGTGGCGCTTGCAGCAATAACAGCACCTGAATCATTTTAGAGGGTGGTATCTAATTAGAGCATGCCTGGCAGAATGTGACTAAAACAGTTCACTAATGTTTTGATGGCACAACCACCGCGTTTAAATAAAAGCTTTCATTCACAAACATAACATTTTAGTGGTTTTAGTCTGTTTTTCTTTTTTTCTTTTTTCTGTCTTTGGGTCATGCACTCTGCTGTTACAGAGAAACTATACAGATGTGTACTTATATAAATGTATATCTATCTATCTAGAAAAAAAAACTCTTTTAGGACCAGTAAGATTTATTAAATGTTGACATTATTTTCATAACAAATAATCATGTTGTCCCTGTCAATCATGTGTCTTGCTATCTTACTTTTTTATCTTTTCTTTTTATGTAATTTTTTTTATGTAATTCTCATTATTCTATTCATGATTCTATTCAAGTCTGTATAAACACTAACATGACATAAATACTTATTACATTTTCTAATGATTTTAATAATCAAAAAAATAGGTTTCATAAAAAGTGTCATTTTTGGGCTTCCATGCTGCAAAAAAATATTTTCTCACTAAATATCTTTAAAACAAGATACATTTACTTGCACAATGACATAAGCTATTAATAATGTGGCATAAATGTAACAAAAATCAGCCAAACAGATAGTCCCACCCTAACCTCATGCCATTGGTTTTTCTCTAATATTATAACATAAAAATACTTCAGTTTTAAGCAAAATATGATTGTATATTCTTTTCTTTTTCTTTTTAGTGTAATATGGCCTGGACATCAATCCATCCTTCCATTACACTTTCTAGAGAGAAAAAAAGAAAGCATATGGCAACTAAGAATGCATTTGACCCCATGCCTGGGCACATTAGTTAGTGTTCTGCAAACCTGTGTGTGTGTGTGTGTGTGTGTGTGTGTGTGTGTGTGTGTGTGGCTGTGCACATATATGTTACTCACACCAGCGAGCTAAGAGCTGCCTGGCCCAGTTGATGCTGTTGCCATGCCGACACTGAGCCTATAGAGAGCCCTGGAGAGCCAAAGCCTTGCAGAGAGGAGAGCTCAGCACTGCTCAGGGAGTATTCTAGAGTAAAACAACACAACAACATTCAACAACAGAGTTTGAGTCAATCAAACACATATGCACTCACACAGTCGAGCGTTTCAAGTATTTTTTATTATGCATTGAGCTCGGAGCTGGATGGTGTCATGGATTGTAGGGTCTTCCTCTTTTTTTATTAAGCCACTCACTCAGAGAAGCATGAAATTAAATCAAATAATGAATGAATGCATACATTATAAAGCAAATAATTACTTTTTATACTCACCAGAGTTGTAGGCAGTGGGCATGCCTGAGTAGACCAGGCCTTGTGGTGGCAGACTCGGGGTGGTGATGGAGACTACTGGTGTGGCCAGAGACTGGGAACTGCTTATCCTCTGGGTGTTCTGTACAAAAAGCCAAATGCAGCAAATTAATGAGATCCCACCACAGACATACATGCATACTCTAAACCAGTGATGGGCAAACTTGGCCCTCTCAGGCCACTTTTCTGCAGAGATTTGATCCAACCCTGATAAAACTCACCTGCCTGTAGCCTTCTAGTAGTCTTGAGACAATGATTAGCTGGTTCAGGTGTGTTTGATTAGGGTTGGAGCTAAACTCTGAAGGAAAGTGGCCTGGAAGTGCCAAGTTTGCCCACCCCTGCTCTAAACAAACCATGTAAAGCATCGTCGTCAGAATAGTGTGATTTGGTGGAAATTATGTGGTAATACCATTTTGCACCAAAAAGAGGCGCTGCAGATTCATTCTAGTTAGAAATCGAATTGTTTTGCAGGTTGCTGTCAGTTTAACAGCTTTAATTCAGAAGCCACTGGATGATATAAGAAAATCTAATATAAAATATAAGACACTACAGAATGGCTTAAAAGTGTGGCACAACTATATATTGTCTATACAAGGTCACTGCAAATTTTTGCTAAGGAATATGCAATAACCTGACTTAAGCACATGGATATATAGGGAAATCCTCAAACACAAGAAAACAAAATACCTAGGAAACTCTCTCATGGGACATCTGATTATTCCCAGAGTCTCAAAAATGTTCTGATCAGTAATTTTTTTCCTGTCTGAACAGTTTCCATGGGAAAAATTGCTCAGAACTTGCTCATTCAGAGCTCTGGGACTTATTGGACATGTCAGTTTAGAAATCAAGTTTGTCAAAGATGTTTCTACTAAAATGCCTTAGGAGAAATAGAAATAAATAAACAATTATTGACACAGTAAGAGTATAGACCTATACAATTATAAGGAAAATGTGGTAGAATTTGCGGAGAAATATTTGAGTTCATACTGAAAAGAGTTCTGATTGCAGACTTAATCTTGATAAATCTGAGCACAGTTTGAGACACAGTTGTGGTCTCTTCTGAAACTCTGAAGAGACATGTCAGATAAATTTAGTCTTTTTCTCAAGAGAAAAATGAGAGGCAGTAGGCTAGAGGAAACATCATAAAGTGCTCTCTAATGTCACTGCTGTTTAGGAGATATAATTGATATTAACATTACTGATATTAAAGAGATCCAAGTTTATTTACTGGATCCGAAAATGTGTTATCAAAGTACCATCCAGCATGCAGAGAAATTACATACTCACCCCAAGCCAAACGTGTGTACATGCAGTGCACACACATACACACACACATGCGCGCACATACATTTGGTCCCCAACATAGGGAATACCAAGTACACTCATACACACACAAACACACACACTCAGAGAAAAAAAAATACTTGGAAATGCATATTCAAATCAGAGCAATTTTGCTCAGTTTTATATTAGCTGAGGTAGATGAATATTCAATCTACATTGAGTTTGAGAGGGACATCACGTGCTCTCTCTCTCAAAAAAAAATACTAATAGAGATTTTCACTTTAGGTTCTTTATAAAATAAATAATAATAATAATATAATGCAGATGCTACAGAATGGTGGTATTAGTACTAATTTAACGCTGGATTTGTTTCAGTATTGTAAAATGCATTCACATTAGTTTCTTCTTGCTAGTGAAAATATTCTCTGACAGCATTTGGCATTCTCCTCAACTGATGACATAATTTTGGACTCAACTCCATTTTACAGACATCATCATAAGTAATCAGAGCCCAGGCCAAAAATCAAGAAACACAAGAGAATAAGAATTTGGGTAATGCTCAAATATGTTGACTGTAATAACATATTTTATGTGGACTGTGTTTCTTAACATTCTGCTTTGATCCATGCTTTTATGTTGTTTCAATATTAAAACTAATACTAGGGTTATTGGTGAGATCTTAGGGAAATATTAAATAATAACTAATGATTGCATCTTTGGGGATTTTATGGATTCATCATTCTCCTTTCTTCGAATACACCCACAACACTCTTCCTTTAGTACAAACACATACACATACATTTCTGAACATACTGTGGGTCTTTTAAATTTCCTTAAAAAGACTCAGAACATGCAGTGTGAGTCACACACAACGTAGACCAGACATCCACACAACACTCAAAAATTCATCCAGTTAATGTTGGGTTTAGTCGATCTTCATCTCAAGCAGTGGAGGCATTTCTCTAAGCTGAGTGTGGCTCTGCTAGTTAAAGTGTCATTTTAAAACCAAACTGAAAGCTTATCAGCCTTCCCAAGGCATTCAGTGAAACTCACCAACTCCATCTCTTCCTCCTCCGACTGCTTCCAACAGAAAAGAGCAGATGATGCTGTCAGTAAAGAGCCAGGTGGGACACCTAAAGCTCAGCAGGGTCAACCCACCGTTCTCACCAGGATGTGCCTGTAAACTAACTTATTCAAATTCAGAGACTGAAGCGTGAACTGAACGCTGCCTCAGGTTACTTGCAATAAAAGTCAAATTCAAATGAAAAGTAAAATTTGTCGGCACTAAATACACAACGTTTTCATTCCTCATGGCCATGTAGTTGGCCATGTCAAACACAGCAATTAGGTAAATGTAAGACGACTTCCAGTGCAAAATGCTGAACAAAGGGAGAATAATAGTGGGTTTTTACGTCCTTCGAAGGGAAAAAAAATCATTGAGGAGCTTGACCTCACAGCTAGGATTTTCTTAACCTTTCACCTCAGACACTCATCCATACATGAGCTTGTGTCCAATAAATCATTTTGCATCCATTGGCAGAGCCCTCCACTTGCCTTAATTGATTATTTACAAGAAGGGAACAGTAAACACAAGGCTAAATGAGAGGTAAAAATGTAGCTGATAACTCATGAGAATATAAGAATGAATGACTATATCTATACATTTTAACTTGTATGTAATAATATTTATTTGTAATTTAATAAAATATGTTAAATAATATTTAGATTTTGTATTATTTTTATTATTATTTTATCATTTATTGTTTAAA